GTCTCATGGAACGGACAAAGACTCAACAGCCGTCCTGTCTCACAGATCAGTGGATCGTCGGTCTATGAACCCTAGACCCTAAACCCTGGACCGACTTGCACTTCTGACAAGTCAGACAGTGGCACAGGCAGACCTCAGGGCACTCCATGAAACCGCTGAAATCCGTCCTGTCGTCAGCTGCTTTGTTTCGGTTGTTGCCTTCGTGTTGGACTCGTAGATCAGGTGTCTGGTCGTCCCCCTTTCATTTCAACGCCGCCTGAAACCGCTGCCTAGGGAGAAACCCCTCTCAACAGCCCAAGCTCCTCCACCATGTCAGGTGCCGCTATGATGAGCAGGGTGAGGGAGATGATGGAGCGACTGACCGCCGCGTCCACCTCGTGGAAGGATCTGGCCGTGGCAGCAGAGGCGGCCCTCAAGGTGGACAACGACTACTTCATGGTACGTACGTCCTGAGGGCCGCTCCCCTCCCCTCCCCTCTCCCTGCACGCACTGCCTTCGTTCTTGCACATCACCTGCCTGCATCTATGTCTCTTATATCAGGCCATCCAGATCATCAACAAAGCCATCGACGAGTACGGCGCATCCTTGGGCTTGGAGTCCATTTCCATGCGCGGTAAGTAAGCCTGATGAGGGAGTGAGTGGCGTCGGATGCCCCGTCGCACATCGTGTGTGTTCGCCTTGCGCAGACCCAAAGAAGTTTCTGGACTCCGTCCGCCAGAAGGCTGGCGAGGAGCTCGCCGCCAAGGTGATATCCGAGCTCGTGCCGATGTTCCTCACGCGATCGGAGGTGCTCAGCAATCTCGGCGCTCACAAGAGGGCTATCATCGAGCTGGATGCCGTCATCTCGGTGTGGCCCGATCATGAGCGTGCCAAGGAGCTGCGCCAGGAGACCGAGGAAGTCATGGCCATGGAGGACAAGACCTACTCGCAGCAGGAGGACGCCAAGATCCCAGCCACCGTGCTAACAGGTGCGTGAGGAACGCACACAAACACACAGACACACAGACACATCTCTCCACATTCCTCTTCGTTCACTTGGATGATGTCAACCAATCGTGCGCATCCTCATCCATCCAAGGCTTCCTTGGCAGTGGCAAGACGACATTGGTAGCCATGTTACGTTGGGGGTGTGGTGTGGTGTGGCTTGCGCAAGAGCCACCGATGCATTGCATACACACATGTATTCTGTCCTCCATGCAATGATGCAATGCAGCTCAACCATATCCTGCGCGACTGGAAGGGCGACAAGCGCATCGCTATCATCGAGGTGCGGAGAGAAACCACAGCGTCGAGTCATGTGCGTGTGGGGCAGGCATGTGTGCTGTGCTGTGCTGTGTGTGTGTGTGTGTGTGTGTGTGTATGGGACAGAACGAGTTCGGCGAGGTCGGCATCGATGACGCTCTCGTGACGAAAGCCCTCAAGGAGGAGGAGACGATCATAGAAATGTGCGTAGGAACCCCACCACCACTCACTTGACTGACTCATGTATGTCCTCCCCTCACCCACACCGCCTCCTGCCCCGCGCGGTGCGTGCGTCAGGAACAACGGCTGCATCTGCTGCACAGTCCGTGGTGACCTGGTGGAGGGGCTCAAGAAGATCCTCAAGAGGTACCGCATTGGGGGAGTGGAACGACTGATAGATAATTCACGCCGACCCGACCGAGGGCACTTGGTCCGTCCGCTGTGCTGTGTGTCTGCAGCGGCCGCACCGATGGGCGTGTCGACCACATCCTGATAGAGACCACAGGTACGTACGACATGTCCGGCGAGGGTAGAGTGGGCCTGCCTGCAGTGGGCATGCATCAGCAACCGGACTGTCTCTGCCATCCATCCATCCATCAGGCCTGGCGGATCCCGCGCCTGTTGCTCAGACATTCTTTGTACGCCTGTTTGCGCATCCGTCTCACTTGTCTACACGTGTGCTGTGCCCCATCCAGCCATACATACTCTGTCTGTCTTTACTTGAACACTCAGGTCGACGACTACATCAACGCGAGAATTCGTCTGGATGGTATAGTGGTGAGGCGACGCAAACAAACAAACTGATCGCACCACACTACACCTGACCTGACCTGCACTCTCTCTCTCTGTGTCCTCCGCCTCGTGTGGTGTGGTGTGGTGTGGTGTGTGCAGACCGTCGTCGACGCCAAGCACATCATCCAGCACTTGGACGACGAGAAGCCTGAGGGCGTAGAGAACGAGGCTATTGAGCAGGTACCTGCATACGCCAATCTCCATCCATCCATCCATCGCTCGCTGCATTCCCGTGCCTCCATCGATGGGAACTCGTGTGTGTGCGTGTGTCTGCAGCTCGCGTTTTCGGACCGCATTTTGCTCAACAAGATCGACCTTGTCGATGCCCCGTACCTGTCCCAGGTCGAGGAGAGAATTCGCGCCATCAACAACTTCGCTCCAATCGTCAAGACGACGCTCAACGTGGCCACTTCCTTGGAGAGCGTTATCAGCGGCATCCTTGGCATCCGTGCGTTCTCGCTCGACAAGGTGCTCGCTCCCACTGGTGACATGTGTATTCCCTTTACTGTCCCCTCATCCCATCCGTGTCCCCCAGGTCCTCGAGATGGACAGTGAGTTTCTGAAGGATGGGCAGGAGCACCAGGTGGGTGCGGCGAGTACATACATGTACACGTGTCACGTCACGTGGGCCGGCCCGGTGTGCGTGCGTGCAGCACGACGAGACGGTGACGAGCGTCGGTATCGACCTGGTCGGCGAGGTGGATGAGAACAAACTCAACGAGTGGCTCGGGGACATCCTGAGGAACAAGGGCGCAGATATCTTCCGGTAGGCCAGCCAAGAAAGAGGTTTGTTTGCCAGAGGGAGGAATAAGTAAGTGGCTCTCACTCTGGCCCGTGCGTGCAGCATGAAGGGAGTGCTGGCCGTGGAGGGGAACGAGTGCAAGTTCGTATTCCAGGGAATCCACATGCTCTTCAGGTGACTACGGACATCGCTTGCTGCTCATTCACCATGCTCCCCCTGTCATGTCACCTTCCTTCTTGCAGCGGCATCGCACAGGACGAGTGGAAGCCATCCGAGACTCGTGAGTGCAAGCTGGTCTTCATCGGCAGGTCAGTCCTTCCTCGAATCGGATCCATCCGCAGGGGTGAGGTGACCGCAATGATTGCAATGCGTTGTGTGTGCAGAAACCTCGACCGTGCTGAGCTTGAGGGGGGATTCCGCAACTGCCTCGTCAAGACACCCCAAGTGGCACAGTAGCCTGCACGTAGTGGAGTGGACAGACGAGGTGCTTGCAGCCCTAGAAGAACCAGGGGGCAAGAGACGAGGGTGCATGATGGGTGTATGTAATCCGGCGGTTTCTCGAGCCCAAGGGGAGAGGGCTCGAGAATCGCCGGCGAGGGGTGCATGTCGAGCATGCCCACCATGCGATGTATCTACACGTGCCAGGGGCGTCAGTGGAAGAATTTTCTGTTGTCAGCATCATGGACAGTCTGTGTGATGTGTCTGTTGTGTTGTGGGTGCGCCTCAGCTCTGGCGGCTCTCGGCCTGAGGGGTGGGGGCTTGGGAATCGCCGGGGAGGGGTGCATGTCGACAGCTTCTCGGCCCGAAGGGGTGAAGGGTGCATCCTTCGGGCCGAGGGGTGCATGTCGAGTATGCCGACGATGCGATGAACGTACACGTGCCAGGGGCGGTGCACAGATGGATCCTGACTGCTCTGTGTGTGCTTGGCTGGAGGCCAGGCGAAGAGAGAGGGGTGTGTGATGCATGTCAGCGGCTGGTGAGAGAGCGGTCGGCATCTGAATTTTCAAGGACGCACGGCACCGGGGGCGGGCCTGGCTCATACATTCGTGATGGTTGCGTTGATGCATCACGGATGGAGAGTCGTTTTTGGAAGACTTGGTGGTGGAGGAAGGGCACTGGCAGAGTGCTCCCCACCCACACAACTGGCGGTGATGGATTCTGCATGCTGGCGTTGATTGATTCATGCGGGCGGGATGTGAGCTGACTTGTCTGTGGGCAGGCCCACAGGGGTTGGACTGTGTCTGTCATGTCACGTGTCTGTCTACACCATGACCCGCTGTGTGGAATAATGGAATGTGCTGACGACCTCTCCATTTTATTTGCAAACATCGGTTATATCAGAGCGCCTTAAAAGGCTCAGTCAGCGCAGATTGGCGTGTCTGTCTTGTCTGTGTGTCTGTCAGGTGACAAATACAAAGATACACACACATACACTTACACATACGCAGCAAGCCACAAATAAATACACACATACAGGACGGACACACACGCACCAGCACGCCGGCCAGGCTCACGAGATGAATGAGACCCAGCCACCTGACTGCTAACCCACCTAACTCAGTCAGCGTCATCTCCGCCAGCACGGAGCGCAAAAAACCGACCGACGGACCCCGCTAGGCAGGATGTTAAATACCAATGCATTCGACTCTTCTTAACAGCCTTCGCATCGATCGATCCATGACACCGAACCAGCAAAATTCTCGTCTCCTAGCTCTGGTCTGGTAATCTCGTTTTCTTAAATCGTGTGCATCTGTGTGTGTGTGTGTGTGTGTGTGTGTTGTGTTGCTCCCTTCCTAGCTGCATGACGGACGATATATGCCCCCCTCACTCCCTCACTCATTCAGAGAAGTCCAGATCAGACAGCAAGTGGCGAAACTTCTTGATGCAGCCAGCCGTAGGTGGCCGTGTCGGTAGGGCGGTGCATCAGGGCGTCTGGACGTGGACGAGCATCTGGACGGCTGTCTGGCAGTAGGGGCAGCCCTTGGCCAGGTAATGCGACTCGTACACCTGAACGAACGGTCAATGAATGACACACAACACACACACGGTACAGTGAGCCAGGTTGTGTGTGTTGTCCAGGTTGCGCCGACTGACTGACCTGCCGGCAGTCCTCGCAGAGGAAGGTGTGGCCACTGACAGACATGGGAACACAACGCAACGCAACAGACCATAGACGCCATTGATATCCCATTCCCCCCTGTCTGTGTGTGTATGGTCACTCACCATGGCACACACAGCTCCGTGGGAGTGGCGCTCAGACACATCAGACACTTGGCCTCATACGACGGGGGCTCTGAGAAGGAAGATACCACACACACCCCACCGCAACCACATGCACGTGATCAATGGCCCCTCCCGCCCCTCTCTCTCCCCTTTGAGAGACGTACCTGTGGCATCTGTCTGCTGCTGCGATGGAGCCTCCTCCGTGCCCTCATCGTCCTCGTCTTCGTCCAGCCCATCTGCCTGTGACGGCAGCACCGACGGCTGACCAGACGGCTGACCAGACGGCAGCACGATGATCGAGTCAGGATGGAAGGGAGCTGGCGGGTCGCCGTCCTCGCCATGCTCCTCCTCGCCCTCCTCATCCTGTGCGTCACCGTCCTCGGCCCCCTCGTGTCCCTCTCCCTCTTCCCATCGGTGCTGCTCCTCCTCATAGATCTCCTGTGCACCCATGAGTGCCTCCAGCGGCCAGCGGCCTCGGCCCCGCCACGATGCAGCACCTGACCCCATGCTGACGGGGGTCTCCTCTGGCTGCTGCTGCTTCTGCTCTGTGCTGGGAGGGGTGTTGTGGCCCCGGCCACCCTTGGCTACCGGGCGTTTCTTCTTGCGCCGGCGTGTCTTGGGCTTGGTGGTCTCGGACGGCTCCTCCTCGGCCGTGAGTGAGTGTGCAGGGGCGTCCAGGAGTGCAGGGGCCGATGGTGCTGAAGAAGGCAGCGCCAGCAGATTGGAGCCTCGTGATGGAGAGACGTCCGTCAGAGCCAGGATGCCAGCCGCACCCTGGCCCGCAGCGGCCGCCTTCCTAGCTCTCTTCTGCTTGCGCTTCTGGCTCTTGGTCATGGTGGCGGTGGCGGGGGCAGTGCCGTCCTCCTCGGTGGATGCCGATTCGACGCCCCGCAGGCTGCCGGAGATGAGCAGAGCCAGTTTTCGGATGGTGTGCCGGTGGGACCAGGCCCTTGTGCTGCACTTGACCAGGTAGAGGCCCGCCAGCCACACCGCGCCCCGATGCAGCCACGTCTCACGCAGACGCGTGACGAAGAGGAGTGCGCAGGGGAAGGCGAGGTCGAGGACATCGAGGGAAGTCCACCCCGCTGCAATGGTCAAACCAATGTGGCATGATGTGGCGAGCAGCAGAGCGGGACTCAGTAGCCCGAGCCCGAGGAGGGAGAAGCCCAGCACTAGGTCAGGGATGCGGCAGACGGCCAGCCACACCGGGCAGCACACGTTGAGAAGCACGCGCCAGAACCACTTGGGCATCCCTGGAAGTACTGGCAGTCGTCTGAGCTCCTCCCTCTTCATAGCACCAAATTCCTCGGAGAACGTCGTCCATGTCATGAGCAGTCCATGGGCCGAAGTCGCCACCGTCAAGGCAGACAGGGCCGTCACCAGCAGCCTGACCAGGTAGCAGCTGTCGCCCGCAATGCCGCTCAGGTAGTGGCAGAGGTACTGCAGGCCGAGCCTCAAAATGGAGTCCTTGTGCACGTCAGGGTCGAGTACGGACAGCAGCATCAGCTGGACAGGCAGGCAAAAGCCGACGGCGCGCCGAGCCATGGCGATGCCCGTTCCAGAGGAGAAGATACCGACGAGAGAGGCGAAGGCCGTGAAGCAAAGGACACCCACGGGCGCCTCCTTGCCCTGCCAGAGAGCCTCCCTCCCACAGATCTCATAGCGCATCCACATCCACCAGACCTTCTCGTCGACACCATGGCGGACGAACACGTACTCGGCGGCCAGGGCGATCAGCAGCAGCCCGCCCCACGTGAGCAGCCCGTCAGTGGTTGACCAGTAGCCCTCCGCTATGAGTGTCGAGAAGAGGAAGACCCCCAGGAGCAGGTGCTGCACATATCGCCACATAGCCAGTCCCACAGGCAGGTACCCCACCTTGACCAGTGATTTGCGGACATCGTCAGGGCAGCCAAGGACAATGCGACACATCACCGAGTATCGCCTGTGGAGCCGGACGGAGGCCCACACGAAGCCGCCGCCCATTGCCGCTACGAGGCACCACAGCCACAGCGGATTCAGGAACCGCATGAGCCACCCCTCCACACCGCCCTCCTCCTTGAGGGACTCCACCGGGCCGTCCATGGTTTTGTTGTGTTGCTGAGGCTTTTCCGATCCCTCGAGCATACCTGACAACCACATAACCAATGTGTGTGTGTGTGTGTGTGTGTGTGTGTGTAGTGTTGCTGATGCATCAGTGCTTCATCTGCCCTACCGGTGAAATGGCCTTCTGCAGTTAAGGCGTCCGAAGGGGGGAAAGACACGTAGTGTGTGCTCGGGCGCCGCAGCCACGGCCGTCTGTGGGGGTGCTCAGGTGAAGGGAGCTCCCGACGCCGATATGTGGCCGCCGCAAGGAAGCGATTGACCCCTGTGTCGGTGTCGTTCAGCCAGGACGCCATTTGGATGGGTGTGAGGGGCACCTCCAGGTAGCAAGAGCGGCAGACAGCCAGCAGGTGGGCCAGGGCCGCGACATTCTCCTCACTCCCACAGCCACCTGGGGCGGCGTCATCGGCAGTATAGAGAGTCCCGTTGAAGATGACCCTGCCCGATGCCGGCTGCATGTACAGATGGAAGCAGTGACCGAGTGGCCCATCCCTCTCGTCCAACACACACATGATGACCGCCTCATAGCCGTCAGGCACGCCTGGCCGCCTCTCCAGCCTTTCCTTGGCCCTCGTCTGCTGCCGGGAGAGCGGACACGCCGACCTCACATCAACGCGGAGAGTGAGTGGGTCATATCTGTCGTCGCGAGAGGCCTCGCCGACGGCACCAATGTCGATAGATTTGCCGGGCTTGCGTGAGACGAACGAGAAGAACCCAATGCTCCACCAGCTTGGTGACTCTGCTGCGTCCCCGTCAGTGGCGATGAGTCGTGTGTCGTCGAATTGGACTCGCTTGCAGGGCTCGAGGAGGGCGCGGTAGTCGTCCAAGCTGCTGAGGGTGAACCAGCAGACCACCGCAGCAGCAAACACAGGGACGCAGGCGAGGAAATGCGCTTCCTTCATCTCCGTTCATCGGACAGTTCCTCCCTCCAAATGGCAATGCCTGTAAGGCAAGGAAAGAAAAAGGAAAAAGAGGGCGAGATGAAGAGGAGAGCCGTCATCGACACGTACATGCACCTACATGCACGTACCTGTGCGTCGTAGGTGGAGGTTCGTTTCGTCTTTGGCGGAAGCGCACATGGGTTTCGGTCTGTCTGCTCTAGCGCAACAGGTCCCCACCGAGCGTTGGGCATCACGGAGGGGATGAGTCCATCCATTCATCATTCGGCGGCTCTCCTGCTGCATCCGTGGGCTTCCTTCCTGTCGCTGTTGAGGCCCTTTTGTTGTGGTTCGGAGGCGCCTGTAGCGGCGGTAGTGTGGACAGATCTGCTGCCGACGAATTGACCATCTCGAAGCTTAGCAGCTCTCTTGACGGTGACTGAGTGAGTGAGGATGCGATTGGTTCACCAGTGAGTGTGTATCGGTTTGGTATTCTGCAGGTCTGCCTTGGTGACCGGGCGGACTGATTGAGCGCCTTTCTATACCATTTCGACTCACAATAGGTGGGCGAGCACAGACACAACGCATCGCATGCAGCAGGTGTCTGCCCATCCCTTGCCTCTCTGTATGTGGTTGGTGCAGCGGCTGGTGTCTGTTTGAGTGAGTGAGATGTCCGAGCGTCGCGACACCCACATGGCCTCCACTGCCATGGCGGACGGTGACGGTGGCGATGCAGGTACGCCACAAACAGATGAATGTGACACATCAAACACACACCGTTCTCGCATTCTGGATGTGCGTGTGTTTGTGTATTTGGTTGTGTCTTCGATTGCGTGTGCAGACGATGTAGCTGAGGAGGATCACAATGGCGGCGGGCAGCCAGACGGACAAGACGACAATGACGCTGACAGTGGTGAGTCAACAGCACGCCACACAGACTGATCAACACACCAGCAGCACATACATTCTTGCGTTGCTGACGAATGTGTTGGAATGTCTTCGTTTCAGATTTGTTGCGTGAGGAGGAGGACGGCGAGATGGCCGAGGAGGAGGGAGAAGGTCTACAGGCGGCAGCTGATAGCGAATCCGAATCGGTGAGTCGCTCATTGACAGCAGCAGCCGCCCCACCCGACGAGCGTCAGCGATTGTTCTCACTCTTTCTCTTTGTTGTGTTAGGATGGTGTGCAGGACGACAGTGATGACGACGGTGGGCCGCTGGGCGACGGCTTAGATGACGACGACTATGACGACGACGGCTATGAGGAGGACGGTACGCCAAACAGACAGACAGACAGACGCGAAAGATTTCGATGCCCACACACATTCCTTCACTGTGTGTGTCGTGTGGTGGCTGTGTGTGTTGCAGGCCATCCGATACTGGCGGCCACCACGGTCGAGGTGCCTGACGGCTGTTGGAGACCCGATGACATCGAGGTTCGATTCCCCCACGGCACCAACGAGGCCACCAAGCAGCTGGCATTGGACGTCATCGGCCGCACCGTCACCAGCCCCCAGCAAGTGGCACGTCTCATGCAGCAGAACGCCGACCCGGATGTCATCCCTTGGCTGCGGAGAAAGGGCCATGGGTGTTCTGGCCTTGGCTACTCTCTGGTCCATCTCGCCATCGACAACAAGTCGGGCTACACCGTCGAGAACATCCAAGCCGAAGACGATGATGCTTTCCGCCTCGTCGCCTTGCCACACTGGTCGTCTGACGAGCTGCAGTCGGCCGTCCTGACCGCACTCCTCGACGGAGGAGCTGACCCCAATGCGGCAGCCGACGGGACCGGCGAACAGACGCTTCTCCGAGTGGCGATTGCATCCGGCAATCAGACGGCCCTCGACCTGCTGATGGCTCAGCAAGGCATCGACCTTCGCGTACCACACCCATACGCACCCATGGTGATGGAGCTGCCCCGTTCCCCCCTGCGTCCGCCTCCCACTGAGTATCTGCAGCTGCTCATGCCCATGTTCCGGCAACTCATCACACGAGACCCCACACTCGCCGCCCAACGAGACGCCTTCAACGAAAACCTGGTGCACAGGGCAGCCGCCCAAACGCAGGTCCACTACCCCCAGTCGTTCATCGACAGCTACCTCGACCTCATCACGGCGAACGGCGCCGACATAATGGCAGTCGATGGCACGGGGTACACGCCACTGCACGAAGCGGCACTGTGGGGGTCTCCCCATGTGACCGACTACCTCTGCCGCAAGCTGCCCGCTGCCCAGATCGACAGACGGACCAACGACGGCCAGACGCCCCTCGCCCTGGCTGCCAACAGGCTCGATCATTACACCCAAGAGCTTCAGGACCCGGACACGCCCGACGCCGACAAGGAGCGGTATCGCGCCAAGATTCCCAACTACGAGCAGATCACCCATTCCCTGCTGCGGGCGGGGGCCGACATCAGCACCATCCCCACAGCCACAGAGGAGAACCGCCGCGGCCGCCAGCTGGTGCTGACGGAGTATGCGACAGTGCTCAATCAGCTGCCCACTGCCGTCATGGCGGCTGTCAACGCCGCCTTCGCCCCCCACCGCTCACTCGCGGCCCTCCTGACCCCCCGGCTGGCCGTCGGCCCGCAGGAGGCCCCCATCTTCGGCTGGCGTATCGCATCATACATCTTCGACATGGCTGCCGCCCAGGAGGCCACCACAGACGAGGCCGTCGGTGTGCGGCACAGCGACATGGCCCGCCGTGTGTGTGCGGCAGCGGAGCACTTCGTCAAGTCGGCAGAGTACCAGGCCAGCAGCAACAGGGAGGTGGTGGGCGGGACGGCCAATGTGGGCGGCCAGGTGGTGCGTGTGCCTCAGCTGCAGTGCTTTGTGGTGGGCGGTGTGGGTGGCCGCAAGATGGAGCTGCGTGAGGTGGTGCATTGGGCCATCCTGGACGAGGCGGCCAAGTGGGAGCTGGTGGGGGAGATCGACAACGGCTTCAGCAAGGATGTGGCTGTGGTGGAGTGGGAGGCGGTGGGGTGGGTCGAGAGGGGGCGGGACGGGAGAGAGACATTCACGTCGCTGGGGATGACATGATTGAAGAAGAGTGGGCAGGTTGTGATGGAGGCATAGATGGTTGTCGCCGCCTGACTTAGTCAAGTGCTTGCCTGTCGCCCGCCGCTTATATATGTGTGGTAGATGCCGCATGTCTGGATGGACGGCTCGATAGGTGGGATGGGGCGGGTGGGTGGATGGATGGAAGGCTGGCAGATGGAGAACTGTCACCCCATCGTTCATTGACCCACCACTGAGGTGTCACGTGATCGAATGGACGCGGTGGCGGCGCACCTGCTGCCTAAAGGTGAGTGTAGAGACACTGGCTGCCTGGCTGCTGGCTGACGGGCGGGTGTTTTGTTGGCGGTGGTGTGAACTGTGGTGTTCGTGCTGCTGGCTGCTGTGTGTGTGTGTTGGTGTGCTGGTGTCTGCCGACTGACATTTCATGATCCAATGAATGTGTCCCCATGGCTGGATGGATGGACACAGCATACGAATGTGTCCACACATGGTTGCAGCCAGTGCAGGGCAGCCAGCACTCCATAAAGGGCACACACACATACACAAAGGTGTCCGTCCATCCACACACTCCACAGGCGCAGGTCGGTAGCCTCACGGCCTA